AACTGTGTCTCAGATCATATGGCCCTGACCTGTGGAGTCCCACAGGGGTCGATCCTGGGACCTCTTCTGTTCAATCTCTACATGCTGCCGTTAGGTCAGTTAATACGCAGAAACAAAGTTTCCTATCATAACTATGCAGACGACACTCAGATCTATGTCTCACTGACTGCAGGAGAACATGGACCAGTGGACTCACTCCTTCACTGTATCCAACAGATCAGTGAGTGGATGCAAAACAACTTCCTTCAGCTAAACGCAGACAAAACTGAAATGATTGTCTTTGGTCCCCAGAAACAAAGAGAGAGCGTCATCTGTCATCTACAGTCTCTCTCCCTAAAACCTTCAAACAAGGTCAGAAATCTAGGGGTAATACTGGACTCAGACTTAAATTTTAATAGCCACATCAAATCAGTAACATCAGCAGCTTTTTACCATCTAAAAAACATTGCCAGGATCAAAAACATAGTGTCTAAAGCAGACCTGGAGATTCTTATCCATGCATTTGTCTCCAGTAGGTTAGACTACTGCAATGGCCTGCTCACAGGTCTGTCCAAACAGGCTGTAAAACAGCTGCAGTACATTCAAAATGCAGCAGCTCGAGTCCTGACTAGAACCAGGAAGTACGACCACATTAGTCCAGTCCTCAGGTCCCTGCACTGGCTTCCTGTGGCTCAGAGAATAGACTTTAAAACAGCTCTGCTTGTGCACCAGTCTCTCCATGGCCTAGCACCAAAATATATTAGTGACATGTTAGTACCATATGAACCAGCCCGGACTCTGAGGAGCACAGGGACTGGACTCCTGTTAGTGCCCAGAGTCAGAACTAAACATGGGGAGGCTGCTTTTCAGATTCATGCTGCTAAAATCTGGAACAATCTTCCTGAAGATGTGAGACAGGCCTCCTCTCTGACAATGTTTAAAACCAGGTTAAAAACGGTGCTGTTTAGCTGTGCATACAACTGAGGGATTTTATATTTTTATCTTTCGTTTTAATGTTCTGTAATTATTTATGATTTTAATGCATCTTGTTCAGCACTTTGAGTTGCCTTGTGTATGAATTGTGCTATACAAATAAACTTGCCTTGCCTTGCCTTGCCACTTAGAGGAGCACCCTTAGAGCTCGCTGGGGTTTAGGACACAGACAGCAGGGAGAGATCTTATGCACATTTATTGTAACAAGAAAATAAATGTTTTAAGGGAACTGTTGGATTTTCCTCGGTCTTCCTTCCTGGTCAAATTTGAATTATGCAAGACCACATACTGCTGAAACATGGAAAATTGGAATATTGTTGTTCATTATTTCTTAAAATAAACTTGAAAAGTGAAACCAATATATGATACAGACTCATTACATACCAAGCATTTGTATATGTTATAATGTTGATGTTTATGATGAATATTTAATTTTTATGAGAGGGCTCGGGAGCCAATTATCAACATAACAGCAAATAAAATCTTGATACATCTCACTTTTTGTAATTTATTTGACATTTTAACAAGATTCTTGTCTTCCTGTAGTTGTGTCTCTCATAAGCATAGACCTTTCAAATGTATTTGTGCACTGCATTTAATGTAGGTGTTACAGAATGTTTTTTTGTTGCAATTTTCAGATATCTTCTATAGGGGGATCTTAGAGTGACGTCGTTGTTTATAGTTTTTCCGCTCCGGTCACGTGACTGTGTGGCACTACAGCATAGAAAGCAACCTGGATGCTAGAGAGCTAGTTGTTTTTAGACGTTTGGAGAGAGGTTTTACCAAATCAAATGGTCCGTTCTTGTTGTGTGGTCGGTTATACGGCCCGCTGGGGACAGATTGTTTTTTTTTCTAATTCTTTCGGAAAAGAACAGCCAAAAACGGCCGCGGTAAAGTGGTTGTTCTTTTATCCTGTTACCTACGGTAAACGTAGAACGGGAAGAGGGGATAAATATTCATAAACAAATTTAAGTTTTGCAACTACTTTCACTGCGGACTTGATCACTCATTCATGAATGATGGTTAATTTTAAACATTACATTTTGGTTGCTCATACCCGTGGCCCTCTGTTCCACCTTTACCGTAAGTAACAGCAAACAGGGGCAACCCGCTTTTAATGTGCTTTACCGTGATGGCAAAATGCCAGGCCACTTTACCGTGGTGAAAAACGCGAGAAATGGATTTTCACCACGGACTCTTCTTGAGTGAAGAGTCCCGGGTTTTCTATGAAGTAAGAATAAATGTCTCCGAGTCCCAGTCCCAGCAGATCGGTGCCAAAAGAGGTGAGTCTGAACAATGGGCCTCAAATGATATCCGGCTGAACACTGACGCAGGGCAAAGTCTCAATCTTAATCCTTTAGATCTAAGTGCTGCCTTTGACACTGTCTACCATGAGAACCTCTTACAGAGATTAGAGGACTTGGTGGGCGTCGCTAGCACCGCCCTAAGTTGTTTTATGAGGTCTTTACCTTAAAGACAGAAGTACTTTGTGGACGATTGAAAATGGTGTCTCAGATCATATTGCCCTGACCTTTGGAGTCCCCCTCAGGGGTCGATCCTGGACCTCCTTCTGTTCAATCTCCACATCTGCCCGGTAGGTTCCAGTTAATACGTCATAAAACAAAGTTTTCCTATCATAACTATGCAGACGACACTCATATCTATGTCTCACTGACTGCAGTAGAACATGGACCAGTGGACCACTCCTTCATTCTTATCCAACAGATCAGTGATGGATGTCCATCATCTAAACGCAGAACAAAACTGAAATGAATGTCTTTGTCCCCAGAAACAAAGAGAGAGCGTCATCTGACATCTACAGACCTTCAAACAATTCCAGAAATCCTGGACTCAGCTTTTTACCAACTAAAAAAATTTGCCAGGAACCATAGGCAGACTTGGAGTACGATGTCCCATTAGTCCAGGTCTGTCCAAACCTCAGCTGCAGTCTCTGCACTGGCTAGAACCAGAATTGACCCCATTAGCTCAGAGAATAGACATATTAAAACAGCTCTGCTGTTACTTTAAAAAGTCATGTCTCCTCCATGGCCTCGAGCACTCAAAATATATTAGTGACATGAGTCCATATGAACCAGCCCGGACTCTGAGGAGCACAGGGACTGGACTCCTGCTGGGACTCTGAGGAGCACAGGGACTGGACTCCTGCTGGGACTCTGAGGAGCACAGGGACTGGACTCCTGCTGGGACTCTGAGGAGCACAGGGACTGGACTCCTGTTAGTGCCCAGAGTCAAACTAAACATGGGGAGGCTGCTTTTCAGATTCATGCTGCTAAAATCTGGAACAGTCTTCCTGAAGATGTGAGACAGGCCTCCTCTCTGACAATGTTTAAAACCAGGTTAAAGACAGTTCTGTTTAGCTGTGCTACAACTGAGGGATTTTTATATTTGTATCTTTCTTTTAATGTTCAGTGATTATTTATGATTTAATGCTTTCTTATTTTGTTCAGCCACTTTGATTGCCTTGTGTAGGAATTGTGCTATATAAAAAACTTGCTTGCCTTGCCTTGTGAATATGTTGCTGCTACGGTAACTTCTGATCCGTCAGAATATTGAATTGAAAATGTTTTTTTTCAACCAGGGATGAGACGGGGAATTTTTGCACATATTCAGCACTAGAGGAAGCGGTCCTCAATTGGAAAGGTTCTGTGTGCATATGGTTGTTACCATAAGGTTGTTACCATAATGGTTGTTACCATATGGTTGTTACCTGCGTGAATTGGCAACTGTCTGGAGGCAATGCCTCCAAACAGATATTACAAGTGCAATCTATGTTTTCTGTAGGATAGTTGCTTGCACTATGTATCTAGGATTGGAATTCCATTCTCCAATGACTAAGTTGGTATTGTACCCGTCCACTGTATGAATTGTAATTTATTTTTTATAAATAAAAACTCTACTACGAATCTAACAGCTGCTCTATTCTGATTTGTATGACCACCACAAAACAGTCTTCTTATACTATGTATTTAAAAGAATAAGTAAGTCTTGCGCTCACACAAAGCACATCAAAAAATACATTTTTTTTTGTACAAGGATCCTGTGAATCCAGGTGACTAGCCTGGTGAATTAAAAAGACTGATTTTATTGATGATGATATTATTCAAAGTAATAATTTGTTAGATTGAGTCTCTGTCCCACACCTTGAGAGTTAAATCCACCCAACAGTTCCCACTTTCTCTCAGCTGAGGTCTCAGTTTCCTGTCCCCAATTCCGGCCTGCAGAGGAAATGCTGTTGACATTCCACACTCTAGTTCCTTCCATTCTGCTTTGTAATCATCATTACACCAACATAAGAGAGGAATCAGCTGAGACGCAGAACAGAAGTACCTAAAACATGGTAGGGCCATTCCTCCTTTCTCTTTACTCCATTGCATTGTGCAGTATCGGATCCTAGGCCTTTGTCCTTGACAGATAAAACGTGATACCTGTTTGTCCCACTCCCTGGGGTTTTAGTTTTTAGTTTTATAAATTCTCCACCACTGCTCCTGACGTAAGCCTCAGCAGCATCTGGGTCAAATGCAGTCTGGCCTTATCCATCCGTACACTCGGTCATTATCATGTCCTGCATGTAACGTCTGGGTCTGGTCTCTGTGTTTGTGATTACAATCGGCTGAATCCCATCCGACCAATCAGAGAGCGCGGCAGGCGGGTGTTGTAGTTAGATGTGGGTGACGTCAAGAGTTTGTGCCGAACGGGAAGGTTGTAGTTTGGCGGAGAATACGATAGTAAAGTATTCTGGTCTGGTTCTATCAAGAAACTGAAGCCGGAGCAAGAGGAATGTTTAGCAAATGTAATCTCTGGAAAAGATTGTGGCTCTACTCCCCACGGGCTCCGTTAGCGCCAAAGGAGATGGCTAAAGCTAGGCTAAATGCTAAAGCTAGGCTAAATGCTAAATGCTAACGACTCACTCGGGCTCATTACAAACGTCACGGTAAACTCAGATCCAATGGTTTCAATCTGCAAAAGGAGTTAGCCCCTCCCACCTGTTCACGGAGTCTGTGTGTACTATGCTGTGGTACGACCAGGCTGGGTCAAATGCAGAGGATGAATTATCCTACGGGGATTAATTAACTTTATCTTTACCTGACCCAAAATCTTATGGAAAAAAAATAATATAAATTAAAAAAAGAATATGATAAAATACTAATAAATAAATCTGTTTAATGTAAAAAATGTCTAAATGTGTCCTTTTTAAATAAATAAAACCTCAAACCGATGATGAACCTTTGATTTCTTCAAAAGTCACTTTGTAATTAAGTCACAAACACTGACCTCAGTTTGTTCTGAAGAAACATTAAAAACATTAAAAACGGAGTCTTTCTATAGATTTGTTTTCAGTCACTTTTCTTTTCATGTTTTTATCGTTTCTCTTTCGTGCTCATTACATCATGTTTTCTTTATTCAGGTTGGAGCTCTGTGGTTTGTCAGAGATCAGCTGTTCCTCTGTGGCCTCAGCTCTGGAGTCCAACCCCTCACATCTCACACTCCTGGACCTGACCTGGAACAATCTGTCTGATTCAGCAGTGTCTGATCTGTGTGGTTTTCTACAGAGTCCAGACTGTCGACTGGAGACACTCAGGTCAGTTCACTGCACAGAAACACTACACACTAAAGTGTTTCATATGAAACTGCAAACACACTTTAAATGATTATAAATGATTCACACAAACATCTGTTACTGTCAATGTCTTTAAAGGAGCAGTATGTAAAAATCTGGCCCAAAGTGGTACTGCAGTCACAGTCAGTATTGTGTAGTCCTCTCCCACTCTCCCTGACTCGGGTTGCCAGATACACACCAAATCCAGCATCAAACACAGGGAATTATTTTATCAGTTGTTTGTCTCTCACATTGCCATGAGCCGTGCTAATGTTGAATAAATGTTTCAAATTAATGTTATTTTTATTTTTATTATTTGGACATTTGAGATAAAAAAACAAAAACAAAATAAAATCAATGTAATTATAGATTATGCAAAATAAATAATCAATTGATGTCCAAAATAGGAGTGGGAAGAATGAATGTTGGAACATATTTCTTCAGTGTATCAACATCAGGGTTTCCTCCAGAGCAGCCATTCCCAAAGTCAGTAACACCGGGGCCCCTTAAAAATCTGACGGATCTGCGCGGCCCCGAAACAATAACCAAGAAGACAACGTTAAAAAAGGGTCTTCTCGTTATTTTATTTGGGGGATAGAGCCTCTGCTTCAAACGTGTAGATGACCATCCCCACTTTGTAAAACACAAATGATTACAATTTGATGATTCAAGTCAAATAATGAACACAAATATTGTAATATTACAAACAAAATATTGATCATTTAACACACAATAATTATATAAAACATTTTTTTTAATGACCTCTCCCGGCCCCCCTGCAGTACCCCCGCGGCCCACCAGGAGGCCCCACTTTGGGAGACACTGCTCCAGAGGATATCACCTTTCATTTTTATTTATTCCCTATTTTTTAGACAAACATATATAAGTCCCACATCAAAAAGAGACTAACATTATTTTAATTGGGTACATGTGGTCTCAAATGATGTTTTTACAATTAAGCTGTAATCTGCAAAAAAACGTCTTGACCCTGGTCTTTTACCGTTTTTTAGAGCAATCTGTCATAGAATGTGATATCATGCAATTTCATTCAAAAAGCTTCTGCCCGGGATCGAACCCAGGTTTGCAGATTAAGAGCACAGCGACCTAACCACTAGACTACCTGTGCACAAACACTAATGTTTTCTCAGCTAGACCACTAACTTTAGCGTCGCACGAACACTTTTATCAGCTCTCACTTTTTCAAAGACGTCCTGATATAAATCCTTAGTCTTTGTTTTGTCATTAATGATTTGAGAGTCATAACGAGACCTTTTTTAGTTCTGTGCCACATGTTATTTTACCAGTGAAACGGCGAAGGGTAGGGCTTGAGAATGAAAACAATAACAACTTTTACGGGTCGTAAAACTAATTTTGATAATCAAATATCTCTGAACTACTGTTATCAGTTAAAGATGTATTCGAAAAGAGCATGATTTAATAATGCTTTTTGAAACATTGGGGCCATTTAATGATGACATATTACATACTGCTACTTTAACTCATGTTTATATTATGTTCAAATAGTTTCTCACATTTATGTACCACTTACATGGAACTTCAAAGCTACAACTGTGTTTAAGGCTGAGAAAAGTCTCATGTTTTTGGTCGGGCCGGGACTTTAACGAGTTCATTAAGATTAATTAATTACACAAAAATTAGTGCGTTAACATTTTTTACGCATTTTAATCGTATTTATTTTTGCACCGCGGAACATTTCTCACTGGATGAGTTTCAGACGGACCGATTATACTGACGCACCAACTGACAACAAACCACAGTGAACATGAACCATGGATCTATTATAATAACTGGGTATTACAGCTTGGAGCTGAAGGACCATGTGCTCACTGCAGACTAAACCAGACTAAACCAGACTAAACCAGACTAAACCAGACTAAACCAGACTAAACCAGACTAAACCAGACTAAACCAGACTAAACCAGACTAAACCAGACTAAACCAGACTAAACCAGACTAAACCAGACTAAACCAGACTAAACCAGACTAAACCAGACTAAACCAGACTACACCAGACTAAACCAGACTAAACCAGACTAAACCAGACTAAACCAGACTAAACCAGACTAAACCAGACTAAACCAGACTACACCAGACTACACCAGACTAAACCAGACTAAACCAGACTAAACCAGACTAAACCAGACTAAACCAGGCTAAACCAGGCTAAACCAGACTAAACCAGACTACACCAGACTAAACCAGACTAAACCAGACTAAACCAGACTGAACCAGACTACACCAGACTAAACCAGACTAAACCAGACTAAACCAGACTAAACCAGGCTAAACCAGACTAAACCAGACTAAACCAGACTAAACCAGACTAAACCAGACTAAACCAGACTGAACCAGACTAAACCAGACTAAACCAGACTAAACCAGACTAAACCAGACTAAACCAGACTAAACCAGACTAAACCAGACTAAACCAGACTGAACCAGACTGAACCAGACTAAACCAGACTAAACCAGACTAAACCAGACTAAACCAGACTAAACCAGACTAAACCAGACTAAACCAGACTAAACCAGACTCAACCAGACTCAACCAGACTCAACCAGACGGAACCAGACTAAACCAGACTAAACCAGACTAAACCAGACTGAAAAAGACTAAACCAGACTAAACCAGACTAAACCAGACTCAACCAGACTCAACCAGACTAAACCAGACTCAACCAGACTCAACCAGACTCAACCAGACTCAACCAGACTAAACTAGACTAAACTAGACTAAACCAGACTAAACCAGACTAAACCAGACTAAACCAGACTACACCAGACTACACCAGACTACACCAGACTACACCAGACTACACCAGACTAAACCAGACTAAACCAGACTAAACCAGACTAAACTAGTCTAAACCAGACTCAACCAGACTCAACCAGACTAAACCAGTCTAAACTAGACTAAACTAGACTAAACCAGACAAGAACAGACTAAACCAGACTAAACCAGACTAAACCAGACTAAACCAGTCTAAACCAGTCTAAACCAGACTAAACCAGACTAAACCAGACTAGAACAGACCAAGCCAGACCAAGCCAGAATAGAACAGACTAGAACAGACTAAGCCAGACCAAACCAGACTAAGCCAGACTAAACCAGACTAAACCAGACTAAACCAGTCTAAACCAGACTAAACCAGACGGACACTTAAGCCCGGGGATTAATAAACTTTATCTTTACTTGACCCAAAATCTTATGGGAAAAAATAATATAAATTAAAAGATGAATATAATAAAATACTAATAAATAAATAATAAATTATAATAAAAAAGTCTAAATGTGTCCTTTTTAAATAAATAAAACCTCAAGTCAGGGAGGGACTTACAGGGGACTATTGTACATGTGTTTAGTGGTAGAGGAAACCGGAGCACCTGGAGGAAACCTACAGACACTGGGAGAACATGCAAACTGCACATGTGTTCTCCCCACACTCACACACACTCCCTCCTCGTGGTCCTCGCCCGTCCTGGAGCCCCTTGTGTAGAGCGAGAGCCCTCATTGGTCGAACCCTGTCATTTCCTGCTGTTTAGTGCAGCTGCCAACATCTGGCTCCAACATCAGGGACACTTTTCTGTTGTTGTCCACAGCAGCTGTGGTCATGAACCTGAGCCGCTCTGTGGACTTCAGGACATTATTTAGAAGTGGTCGTTGGTTCGAATCCAGTCCCTGTGCTCTTGGACTCTTGTCGTTTCTCTGGTGTGTGACAATGGGTTTAATATCTTAAAGGAGACGTACTGTGCTTTGCTCTGATGTTTAATCTATGACACGTGTGGATCATTCTTATATATTTGGAACATGTTCAGTCTCAGAATATCAAAGCAACGAGCAGTGGAGTCTTTGCATGTGTGCCAAAATGCCTGCTGATCATCCACATGTCAGATTACAGGGAATACAGACGACTGGGTCTTTGTGTGTGATATGTGACATCATTATGAATCCTTTGTATTGTTATTGTTCATGTGTTTCCCACTGCTCAGCTGTTGTTCTTGTTTGGCATTATTCCTCAGCTTGTATCGTAGTCTATAAGATCACGATGCTCATTACATCATGTTTTCTTTATTCAGGTTGTGGGACTGTGGTTTGTCAGAGATCAGCTGTTCCTCTGTGGCCTCAGCTCTGGAGTCCAACCCCTCACATCTCACACTCCTGGACCTGAGTCTGAACAATCTGTCTGATTCAGCAGTGTCTGATCTGTGTGGTTTTCTACAGAGTCCAGACTGTCGACTGGAGACACTCAGGTCAGTTCACTGCACAGAAACACTACACACTAAAGTGTTTCATATGAAACTGCAAACACACTTTAAATGATTATAAATGATTCACACAAACATCTGTTACTGTCAATGTCTTTAACTCATGTTTATATTATGTTCAAATAGTTTCTCACATTTATGTACCACTTACATGGAACTTCAAAGATACAACTGTGTTTAAGGCTGAGAAAAGTCTCATGTTTTTGGGGGAAAAAAGAGTTTTAGTTTTTTCCAATTCTTATAAAATCCAACATCAAAGAATCCTTAAAGTAAAGTGAAGCCTGTTCACACGAGAGATTTTAAAATTGTCGGTCGATTTTCCAAACCTGAGAGACCCCACATACAGAGATAAAAAATCAAGGGTCTAACCACTTTGGTCGTACAGTGTGTGGTGCGCAGCCACACGACAAAATCACACAAACCACACACATCACACACAAACTGATTTCACCCCCGAGCATTCCCAGGTCAGACGGAAATCTCTGGAGATCAAGCGTGACTTCAGAGTAAACAATCATGGCAGACGAAGAGGATGCAGTGGTGATAGTTTGTGTTGCCATAGGTCAAACTAGTTGGTCCTCCATCTCCGACGTCCACCGGACTTTCTGGTGCTGCCGCTGACTGTTATGATTCTTTTCTGGTGTTTCCTCGCCGCCTCGTCACCTGGTCTTCTGATTGGCTACACGCCGCAGTCCACTGGCAGCGTGCTCGTCTGTCCCCGACACCACACATGAAGAGAAATCAGGCCAAAACAATCCAACATGTTGGATATCCCTGAGATCGGAGCAGTCCCAAAGTCCTTCTGAGCGACGCAGTCTGAACACACCACACATGGAAAATCCATCAGATTATTTTTACAAATATCAGAGCGTTCTTAAGATTGTCGTTAGGGGTAAATCAGGTCTTAAATCGGCCTAATTATCCTGCCATGTGCACCAGGCTTAACTGTTTCGCTTCAGCTTGTTGTTGAACAGGTTCTAAAACTGTCACAAAATCTAGTGAAAAAGTGATTTCAAATAAAAATAAAATATATAAAATAAAATATCAATGATTCTGTTTAATGTAAAAAAAAGTCTAAATGTGTCCTTTTTAAATAAATAAAACCTCAAACCGATGATGAACCTTTGATTTCTTCAAAAGTCACTTTGTAATTAAGTCACAAACACTGACCTCAGTTTGTTCTGAAGAAACATTAAAAACATTAAAAACTGAGTCTTTCTATAGATTTGTTTTCAGTCACTTTTCTTTTCATGTTTTTATTGTTTCTCTTTCGTGCTCATTACATCATGTTTTCTTTATTCAGGTTGGTACTCTGTGGTTTGTCAGAGATCAGCTGTTCCTCTGTGGCCTCAGCTCTGGAGTCCAACCCCTCACATCTCACACTCCTGGAACTGTGGGGGAACGATCTGTCTGATTCTGATGTGAAGAAGCTCCGGGAACTCCAACAGAGTCCTCACTGTCGACTGCAGACTCTGGAGTGAGTAGTGACTTCTTGGTTCTGTTTTGAGCTCGGAGCAAGTGGCTCAGATGTGACTGTGTTCTAAACCCGAGGCGTGTGCAGTCGAGCCTCTTCAACACTTCATACACAACATGAGGTCATCAGTGCTTTTCATATCAGATAAACCAGACTCTGTATCCTGTGTCTCTGTATCCTGTGTCTCTGTATCCTGTGTCTCTGTATCCTGTGTCTCTGTATCCTGTGTCTCTGTATCCTGTGTCTCTGTATCCTGTGTCTCTGTATCCTGTGTCTCTGTATCCTGTGCCTCTGTATCCTGTGCCTCTGTATCCTGTGTCTCTGTATCCTGTGTCTCTGTATCCTGTGCCTCTGTATCCTGTGCCTCTGTATCCTGTGTCTCTGTATCCTGTGTCTCTGTATCCTGTGTCTCTGTATCCTGTGTCTCTGTATCCTGTGCCTCTGTATCCTGTGCCTCTGTATCCTGTGTCTCTGTATCCTGTGTCTCTGTATCCTGTGCCTCTGTATCCTGTGCCTCTGTATCCTGTGTCTCTGTATCCTGTGTCTCTGTATCCTGTGTCTCTGTATCCTGTGTCTCTGTATCCTGTGCCTCTGTATCCTGTGCCTCTGTATCCTGTGTCTCTGTATCCTGTGTCTCTGTATCCTGTGTCTCTGTATCCTGTGTCTCTGTATCCTGTGTCTCTGTATCCTGTGTCTCTGTATCCTGTGTCTCTGTATCCTGTGTCTCTGTATCCTGTGTCTCTGTATCCTGTGCCTCTGTATCCTCTGCCTCTGTATCCTGTGCCTCTGTATCCTGTGCCTCTGTATCCTGTGCCTCTGTATCCTGTGCCTCTGTATCCTGTGTCTCTGTATCCTGTGCCTCTGTATCCTGTGTCTCTGTATCCTGTGTCTCTGTATCCTGTGTCTCTGTATCCTGTGTCTCTGTATCCTGTGTCTCTGTATCCTGTGCCTCTGTATCCTGTGCCTCTGTATCCTGTGCCTCTGTATCCTGTGTCTCTGTATCCTGTGCCTCTGTATCCTGTGCCTCTGTATCCTGTGTCTCTGTATCCTGTGTCTCTGTATCCTGTGTCTCTGTATCCTGTGCCTCTGTATCCTGTGCCTCTGTATCCTGTGCGTCTGTATCCTGTGCCTCTGTATCCTGTGTCTCTGTATCCTGTATCTCTGTATCCTGTGTCTCTGTATCCTGTGTCTCTGTATCCTGTGTCTCTGTATCCTGTGTCTCTGTATGTCCTGTGCTCTGTATCCTGTGCTCTGTATCCTGTGTCTTGCTGTATCCTGTGTCTCTGTATCCTGTGTCTCTGTATCCTGTGCTCTGTATCCTGTGTCTCTGTATCCTGTCTCTGTATCCTGTGTCTCTGTATCCTGTGTCTCTGTATCCTGTGTCTCTGTATCCTGTGTCTCTGTATCCTGTGCTCTGTATCCTGTGCTCTGTATCCTGTGTCTCATTTCCTGTGCCTGTATCCTGTGTCTCTGTATCCTGTGTCTCTGTATCCTGTGTCTCTGTATCCTGTGTCTCTGTATCCTGTGTCTCTGTACCCTGTGCTCTGTATCTGCTCTGTATCCTGTGCTCTCTGTGTCTCTGTGTATCCTGTGTCTCTGTATCCTGTGTCTCTGTATCCTGTGCCTCTGTATCCTGTGTCTCTGTATCCTGTGCCTCTGTATCCTGTGTCTCTGTATCCTGTGTCTCTGTATCCTGTGTCTCTGTATCCTGTGTCTCTGTATCCTGTGCCTCTGTATCCTGTGCCTCTGTATCCTGTGTCTCTGTATCCTGTGCCTCTGTATCCTGTGCCTCTGTATCCTGTGTCTCTGTATCCTGTGTCTCTGTATCCTGTGTCTCTGTATCCTGTGCCTCTGTATCCTGTGCCTCTGTATCCTGTGCCTCTGTATCCTGTGCCTCTGTATCCTGTGTCTCTGTATCCTGTGTCTCTGTATCCTGTGTCTCTGTATCCTGTGCCTCTGTATCCTGTGTCTCTGTATCCTGTGCCTCTGTATCCTGTGTCTCTGTATCCTGTGTCTCTGTATCCTGTGTCTCTGTATCCTGTGTCTCTGTATCCTGTGTCTCTGTATCCTGTGTCTCTGTATCCTGTGTCTCTGTATCCTGTGCCTCTGTATCCTGTGTCTCTGTATCCTGTGCCTCTGTATCCTGTGCCTCTGTATCCTGTGCCTCTGTATCCTGTGCCTCTGTATCCTGTGTCTCTGTATCCTGTGTCTCTGTATCCTGTGTCTCTGTATCCTGTGTCTCTGTATCCTGTGTCTCTGTATCCTGTGCCTCTGTATCCTGTGTCTCTGTATCCTGTGTCTCTGTATCCTGTGTCTCTGTATCCTGTGTCTCTGTATCCTGTGCCTCTGTATCCTGTGCCTCTGTATCCTGTGTCTCTGTATCCTGTGCCTCTGTATCCTGTGCCTCTGTATCCTGTGCCTCTGTATCCTGTGCCTCTGTATCCTGTGTCTCTGTATCCTGTGTCTCTGTATCTGTGCTCTGTATCCTGTGTCTCTGTATCCTGTGTCTCTGTATCTCTGTATCCTGTGTCTCTGTATCCTGTGTCTCTGTATCCTGTGTCTCTGTATCCTGTGTCTCTGTATCCTGTGTCTCTGTACCTGTGTCTCTGTATCCTGTGTCTCTGTATCCTGTGTCTCTGTATCCTGTGTCTCTGTATCCTGTGTCTCTGTATCCTGTGTCTCTGTATCCTGTGTCTCTGTATCCTGTGTCTCTGTATCCTGTGTCTCTGTATCCTGTGTCTCTGTATCCTGTGTCTCTGTATCCTGTGTCTCTGTATCCTGTGTCTCTGTATCCTGTGTCTCTGTATCCTGTGCTCTGTATCCTGTGTCTCTGTATCCTGTGCTCTGTATCCTGTGCTCTGTATCCTGTGTCTCTGTATCCTGTGTCTCTGTATCCTGTGTCTCTGTATCCTGTGTCTCTGTATCCTGTGTCTCTGTATCCTGTGTCTCTGTATCCTGTGTCTCTGTATCCTGTGTCTCTGTATCCTGTGTCTCTGTATCCTGTGTCTCTGTATCCTGTGTCTCTGTATCCTGTGTCTCTGTATCCTGTGCTCTGTATCCTGTGTCTCTGTATCCTGTGTCTCTGTATCCTGTGCTCTGTATCCTGTGTCTCTGTATCCTGTGCTCTGTATCCTGTGCTCTGTATCCTGTGCTCTCTGCTCTGTCCTGTGTCTCTGTATCCTGTGTGCTCTGTATCCTGTGTCTCTGTATCCTGTGTCTCTGTATCCTGTGTCTCTGTATCCTGTGTCTCTGTATCCTGTGTCTCTGTATCCTGTGTCTCTGTATCCTGTGTCTCTGTATCCTGTGTCTCTGTATCCTGTGTCTCTGTATCCTGTGCTCTGTATCCTGTGCCTCTGTATCCTGTGCTCTGTATCCTGTGTCTCTGTATCCTGTGTCTCTGTATCCTGTGTCTCTGTATCCTGTGCCTCTGTATCCTGTGTCTCTGTATCCTGTGTCTCTGTATCCTGTGTCTCTGTATCCTGTGCCTCTGTATCCTGTGTCTCTGTATCCTGTGTCTCTGTATCCTGTGTCTCTGTATCCTGTGTCTCTGTATCCTGTGTCTCTGTATCCTGTGTCTCTGTATCCTGTGTCTCTGTATCCTGTGCCTCTGTATCTGTGCTCTGTATCCTGTGTCTCTGTATCCTGTGTCTCTGTATCCTGTGCTCTGTATCCTGTGCCTCTGTATCCTGTGCTCTGTATCCTGTGTCTCTGTATCCTGTGCTCTGTATCCTCTGTATCCTGTGCCTCTGTATCCTGTGTCTCTGTATCCTGTGTCTCTGTATCCTGTGCTCTGTATCCTGTGCTCTGTATCCTGTGCTCTGTATCCTGTGCTCTGTATCCTGTGCCTCTGTATCCTGTGCCTCTGTATCCTGCTCTATGCCTCTGTATCCTGTGTCTCTGTATCCTGTGTCTCTGTATCCTGTGCCTCTGTATCCTGTGCCTCTGTATCCTGTGCCTCTGTATCCTGTGCCTCTGTATCCTGTGTCTCTGTATCCTGTGCCTCTGTATCCTGTGTCTCTGTATCCTGTGTCTCTGTATCCTGTGTCTCTGTATCCTGTGCCTCTGTATCCTGTGCTCTGTATCCTGTGTCTCTGTATCCTGTGTCTCTGTATCCTGTGTCTCTGTATCCTGTGTCTCTGTATCCTGTGTCTCTGTATCCTGTGTCTCTGTATCCTGTGTCTCTGTATCCTGTGTCTCTGTATCCTGTGTCTCTGTATCCTGTGTCTCTGTATCTCTGTGTCTCTGTATCCTGTGTCTCTGTATCCTGTGCCTCTGTATCCTGTGTGCCTCTGTATCCTGTGTCTCTGTATCCTGTGTCTCTGTATCCTGTGTCTCTGTATCCTGTGCCTCTGTATCTTGTGTCTCTGTATCCTGTGCCTCTGTATCCTGTGTCTCTGTATCCTGTGTCTCTGTATCCTGTGCCTCTGTATCCTGTGCCTCTGTATCCTGTGTCTCTGTATCCTGTGTCTCTGTATCCTGTGCCTCTGTATCCTGTGTCTCTGTATCCTGTGCCTCTGTATCCTGTGCCTCTGTATCCTGTGCCTCTGTATCCTGTGCCTCTGTATCCTGTGTCTCTGTATCCTGTGCCTCTGTATCCTGTGTCTCTGTATCCTGTGCCTCTGTATCCTGTGCCTCTGTATCCTGTGCCTCTGTATCCTGTGTCTCTGTATCCTGTGCCTCTGTATCCTGTGTCTCTGTATCCTGTGCCTCTGTATCCTGTGCCTCTGTATCCTGTGCTCTCTGTATCCTGTGCCTCTGTATCCTGTGTCTCTGTCCTCTGTATCCTGTGTCTCTGTATCCTGTGTCTCTGTATCCTGTGTCTCTGTATCCTGTGTCTCTGTATCCTGTGTCTCTGTATCCTGTGCTCTCTGTATCCTGTGCTCTGTATCCTGCTCTGTATCCTGTGTCTCTGTATCCTGTGTCTCTGTATCCTGTGTCTCTGTATCCTGTGTCTCTGTATCCTGTGTCTCTGTATCCTGTGTCTCTGTATCCTGTGCTCTGTATCCT